GCCAGATTGGAATTTATTTTTCCATTCATGAGGCTTTCCACTGGTATGTGTATTTCAGTTATAGAATCAGGGAGACATCGCTTGGTGCTGAGTAAGACGACTTTTGCTTGTTTTTTTTTGTTTTTTGCTTGTTATACTCAAACACTTGAAACACGAATTATTTCTTCGTGTCTGTTAGCAAAGCACTTCATATCGAAAATATCAACTTAAACAGGTTTAGTCGCTACTTAACAGATATTGGATCCTCTATTATATCTCTTATATTAACGATATTATTTATTAGAACCATATTGCTGATTTTTTAGGTGGAATGTCCGTTAAGAAGAACTTCTTATGATTAATTTAAATGGAAATAATAACTTACCAGCAAAGTTAATGTTATACCATATTTATACACTGAACAGGGTATATTAAGTTGGCATGCAGTTAGTAACAGACAAAAGGAAACGTTGGGGACTCTTTAAAATATATATATAAGTAAATGTTCAGTGAGACGATCTGAGTCGATTTAGCCATGCCCGTCGGTCGGTCTATCTGCATATACACGAACTAGTCACTCAGTGTCCTTTTCTCACTAAGAACCTGCTTAGTTCTCGGAAGTGCCGATATCGGACCACTGTAGCATATATGTAACTGCCATTCAAACTGAACGATCAAAAGAAAGTTCTTGTATGGAAAACATTTTTATTTGGATATTAGATATCTTGCTTCACGTAATTAGGCATAAATAATTGTCCAACACAACGGTACAATCTTCGAGCAAACAGTCCTGATCGGATTACAATAGCATATCGTTGCAATACAAACTGATGGGTCAAGATCAAGTTTTTTGATAAACTTATATGTATATAGCTGCAGTAGTGCTCAGTAAACTTAGAAAATATTCATTCAAACCCTACTTTGTAAATATCCTTCAATCAGACTAATATATAAACAGGTTATACAAGTTTACTAAATTTTAGTCTTTCTTTTTTCTGATTTCCAAAGAACTTCCTTATCTACTTGATAAATAAATGAATACATTTTTATCACATCTCTATACTTGAACAAACAAAAAAAAAAAAAAACAAATTGCGCACCAGTTGAACACTCTGTACAATTTATTTATACCTAATCCCATAAAAGTAACCCTAAAGTAACGTCAAATGCTTAAAATGCAACCCAACGGGCTGCAGACGGGGTAACCAATTAACGCAGAGGTAATTAAAGAAAAACTTAGAAGCAATAAAAAGCATATAAAATGTATATTAAAGAAGATAGTACAATAGAAAAGAAGGTGAGCAGACAGAAGAAAATGTATGTCAAATTTGGCGAAACAATGAGCGCTCTAGAGAGAAGACGGTGCCGGGCAGTTAATCGGAAAAGTTTTCAGCTTCGGGCGATTATGAAACGAAAGACCCAAACCACCTTGGAATACAAAACACGAGCTAACACAAAAAATAAAAAAAACTGTGACAAGTAGGTGGACAGGCAAACGTTGGTTGCGTTGTTAAGAGCAGCAGGCAGGTTGGCAGGTGGTCTCGCGCTGTGTCAGGCTGTTATTATCACCCAGTTGAGTAATTGAACTACATAATTCAACGCAGTATATGAAATTTGGTAATGAGTACTATGAGAGCAACAAAAAGAGCGCGCGAAATTCAAGCAAATGAAAGTGAAGCCAATGACCGGCATATTGCTTGTTGTAAATAAAAGTGTAGTAAAAGTAAGAGTAAGGCAAAATAAGAAATAGTTTATGGGCCAACTATTCATCATGCCGCGTTCAACCGGTGTGGAATTTTGTGCTTTTCTCTGTCTCATATTTTCAGACAGCGCGTGTACCAGCTGTAACTGATGACTGTTGGAAGAACGTTTTCGTGACTAACTTTTTCTTTAAAGTCTTGCTTGGGAGGTATAAATTAAATAAATACAAGCAAGATGCCCTTGGGGGCGACTCATTCTTCTGAATTCTGGCGGAGCTTTCAAATGTCAGCTCAGATTGAGAGACGCCAGTCCCCCGATTTTTGCCACGATTCATTTGCAAATGCATTGCACTATGTTAGTTTATCCTTAAACTAGTTTCTGAAACGTTTCGTTAGACAGTTAAACCATTTTTAATGGTAGTGCTGAAAAACTTTATATGGAGGTGAGCATGGTTACTAACCAATTTTACTCATTTTCACACAGTATTATGAAATGCTAATGTCTACACTAAATTCTTTAGACATACTGTGGAGGTGTGTGTGAAGTTTCTGAGGCTTGTACATTAAGCTTAATGGAGGGCAGGGACTTCCCTTCAAATTTTATAGGAGTTTATAGCAATCAACGGCATAAAATTACATAAAAAGATCTTTATTTTGATTTTGATCGGTGAGTTTGAGAGACAGCTATATGATATATTGGTGCGATCTGAATAATATATTCGGAAAATTTATCGAAGCTTTGGATAATAATCAAATATCGCTAATATACCTAGACAAATAAAAAGTTTTCATACAAGTTACTTGAGTTTGATCGGCCTTTCTTCGCAGATTATAGCGAAGAACTTGAGTTCGAGCGGTCAGTATGTATGGCAGTTATATGATATAGTTGCCATATCGGGGATTCCGACAAATGAGCAGCGTCTTGGAAATAAAAGGACGTGTGCAAAATTTCAAGTCGATATCTCAAAAACAGAAGAACTAGTTCGCATATATACAAAAAAACATGGCTTAGTAGACACAGCTCGTCACCATGATCATTTATATACACATTTTATAGGGTCTCTGAATAATCCTTCTGGTTGTTACAAATTTCGTGATAGTTTTCATATATTTTGTTCAGCGTATTAAAATAAGATGTAATTAAGTAAGTTTAAGATTTTTTTGTATTGCTTGTCCTATGTTTTTCCTTAAAAACGGAAGCCAAAGTATTGCATAATATTTGGATATGATTGAACAACAAATTGTATTCAATATTCCAGAAGAAGATAGATAAATAAAACACGAAGCCTCACGCTAGGTCCTTTCGCAAATTATCAGCCAGCCAGCCAGACAAAGGGAACTGGGAATGTACTCAGCGAAAAGTATAAAATTTAGTGCTGAGCCTAAAATTCAGATTTTCACAGACAGAAGTGTACGCATTTCGAATTCTTCTAGGTAATACTATTTTTAAACGCGCTTAAACGTCGAAGTCACCTAAGGGAGATTCAGTTACGTTGGGAAGCATCAGGAAAGCACATTATTTGTTTTGGTCTTACGAGTCATGCGAAAGCATGGTCTGTGTCATCCACTGCCAAAGGAATCGCAGATGTCCAGAGTGGTGTGGTTTCCTGGGGTCCAGTCTGAATAAATAGGAGTTTAATATACTATAATCTGTAGATCGTGGCTGTGCTGCAGTACTCAGCTACATAATTCCTACGACAGATCGTTCTAAATTATGATATTTAAACCGGATTTCATTCGGAAAAATGGTGTTATCTCGATAATCGTGAGAAAATACAATGTCTTGGAAAATGAAAATACACGAAGAACTTCTCACTTTAAAGCTCTCTTGGGAGAATATACTATTATCTATATCAAACCAGCTATAAAAAGTATTTAGTCTATGATTGCATCAACAAACAAGATTTTTTATTGCTATTTAACTAAAAATTTATAGATATGGACCAAGAAGAACACTTTCAAAACCAGTTTCTCCCTTGGGTCTTTGATCATATAATTACTTAAAATCATTATATTATAAAAATCTAGATACAAATGAGGTTACGTTGACCCTGCGATACGGAAATTGAACTGCGGAAGCTGTAACGGTCAAATATTTATGCCGGAAACAGATCCCAAGGACAGCGGTAACACTGCTTGTTGCGGTAAAATATTTGTTTGTGCGGGCATTATTCTTGAGACAGATCCCAAGGTAAGCGGTAACACTGCTTGTTGCGGTAAAATATTTGTTTGTGCGGGTTATGCTTGAAACAGTCCAAGGCAGCAGGTAACACTGCTTGTTGCGGTAAAATATTTGTTTGTGCGGGCATTATGCTTGAAACAGATCCCAAGGAAAGCGGTAACACTGCTTGTTGCGGTAAAATATTTGTTTGTGCGGGCATTATGCTTGAAACAGATCCCAAGGAGCGGTAACACTGCTTGTTGCGGTAAAATATTTGTTTGTGCGGGCATTATGCTTGAAACTCCAAGGCAGCGGGAACACTGCTTGTTGCGGTATATTTGTTTGTGCGGGCATTATGCTAGGATTCCAAGGAAAGCGTAACATTGCTTGTTGCGGTATAATGTTTGTTGAACTGGATTTATCGGCACTTGGCAAGTGGCGCAGATGATGATAACGGTTGTAGATAAGATTGCGCTGGCATCCTACCGCTTGAAGAAAACATTCTGGCTTTGAGGAGCCAAAGTATTAGAAACTGGGAGTGGTTGAATAGGCAATATGGTGCATGGAAAGTTGAAAGACATTTTGTCCAGCAGTTATTGGACCAGGTGAGCAAGGTGATGTCCTTCCGGAAGCTGCAACAGTTACCAGGTGGTGGTGGGCATGTACATGAAGGAGTCGCAGCAGGATTTGGCGGGGGTATCGGTAACGTTGGTGGTAATGTTGTACAAATGGTGGCATTGTCGTTGGAAGCGTCGCAGGTAGTGTTGTTCTCAAATCGTGTACAGACATATTATTGGCACTAAAGTTTGTCTAGATTGTGTTGTTGGTACTATCGTTGGATCTGTTTGGTGTCCAGTCGTTATTGTTGAAGTTGTTGTAGATGGAGCTTCTGGTACGTCGTTAGATTTGTTGGTACTACCGTCGCTGGCGCTAAAGTTGTCGTAGGTTGTGTTGTTGGATCAGTTGCCGGTACAGCCGTTAGCGCTCAATTGCCGTTGATTGTAATATTGGTACTGTCGTTAGATCAGTTGGTGATGCGTCGTTGAGGCTAAATTGGTTGAAGGTTGTGTTGTTGATCTGTTGTTAAATCTGTTGGTTGTACAGTCGTTGGATCTGTTGGTTTACAGTCGTTGGTTGTGAAGTTGTTGAAGGTTGTGTTGTTAGATCTGTTGGTATTGCAGTGGTTTGTATTTAAAGTTGTTGAAGGTACTGTGTTGGATCTGTTGCTGGTACTGTCGTATTAGATCTGTTGGTGTTACAGTCGTTGGTTCTGAAGTTGTTGAAGGTTGTGTTGTTGGTACTGTTATTGGATCTGTTGTTGATCCTGTCGTTGGATCTGTTGGTGTTACAGTCGTTGGTTCTGAAGTTGTTGAAGGTTGTGTTGTTGGTACTGTTATTGGATCTGTCGTTGATCCTGTCGTTGGATCTGTTGGTGTTACAGTCGTTGGTTCTGAAGTTGTTGAAGGTTGTGTTGTTAGATCTGTTGGTGTTGCAGTGGTTGTATTTAAAGTTGTTGAAGGTACTGTCGTTGGATCTGTTGGTGTTACAGTCCTTGGTTCTGAAGTTGTTGAAGGTAGTGTTGTAGGAATAGTCGTTGGATCTGTTGCTGGTACAGCTGTTAGTGCTAAAATTGCTGTTGAATGTAATACTGGTACTGTCGTTAGATCAGTTGGTGATGCAGTCGTTGAAGCTAAAGCGGTTGAAGGTTGTGTTGTTGATCCTGTCGTTAGATCTGTTGGTGTTACAGTCGTTGGATCTAAAGTTGTGTGGTTTTGTTGTTTGGTCTCCGTTGTTGAGTCGTTGGTTGTTACAGTCGTACTTGGATCTCGTTGATATTACAGTTGTTGTTGGTGTTACAGTCGTTGGTCTGAAGTTGTTGAAGTTTGTGTTGGTATGTTGTTGGATCTGTTGTTGATCTGTCGTTGGATCTGTTGGTGTTACAGTCGTTGGTTCTGAAGTTGTTGAAGGTTGTGTTGTTGGTACTGTTATTGGATCTGTTGTTGATCCTGTCGTTGGATCTGTTGGTGTTACAGTCGTTGGTTCTGAAGTTGTTGAAGGTAGTGTTGTAGGAATAGTCGTTGGATCAGTTGCCGGTACAGCCGTTAGCGCTCATTGCCGTTGATTGTATATTGTACTGTCGTTAGATCAGTTGGTGATGCAGTCGTTGAGGCTAGAGTGGTTGAAGGTTGTGTTGTTGATCCTGTCGTTAGATCTGTTGGTGTTACAGTCGTTGGATCTAAAGTTGTTGAAGGTTGTGTTGTTGGTACTGTTGTTGGATCTGTTGTTGATCCTGTCGTTGGATCTGTTGGTGTTACAGTCGTTGGTTCTGAAGTTGTTGAAGGTTGTGTTGTTGGTACTGTTGTTGAGTCAGTTGGTTGTACAGTCGTTGGATCTGTTGATATTACAGTTGTTGGATCTGTTGGTGTTACAGTCGTTGGTTCTGAAGTTGTTGAAGGTTGTGTTGTTGGTACTGTTGTTGGATCTGTTGTTGATCCTGTCGTTGGATCTGTTGGTGTTACAGTCGTTGGTTCTGAAGTTGTTGAAGGTAGTGTTGTAGGAATAGTCGTTGGATCAGTTGCCGGTACAGCCGTTAGCGCTACAATTGCCGTTGATTGTAATATTGGTACTGTCGTTAGATCAGTTGGTGATGCAGTCGTTGAGGCTAGAGTGGTTGAAGGTTGTGTTGTTGATCCTGTCGTTAGATATGTTGGTGTTACAGTCGTTGGATCTAAAGTTGTTGAAGGTTGTGTTGTTGGTACTGTTATTGGATCTGTTGTTGATCCTGTCGTTAGATCTGTTGGTGTTACAGTCGTTGGATCTAAAGTTGTAGTAGGTTGTGTTGTTGGTCCCGTTGTTGAGTCAGTTGGTTGTACAGTCGTTGGATCTGTTGATATTACAGTTGTTGGATCTGTTGGTGTTACAGTCGTTGGTTCTGAAGTTGTTGAAGGTTGTGTTGTTGGTACTGTTGTTGGATCTGTTGTTGATCCTGTCGTTGGATCTGTTGGTGTTACAGTCGTTGGTTCTGAAGTTGTTGAAGGTTGTGTTGTTGGTACTGTTATTGGATCTGTTGTTGATCCTGTCGTTGGATCTGTTGGTGTTACAGTCGTTGGTTCTGAAGTTGTTGAAGGTTTGTGTTGGTTACTGTTATTGATCTGTTGTTGATCCTGTCGTTGGATCTGTTGGTGTTTCAGTCCTTGGTTTGGTTGTTGAAGGTAGTGTTGTAGGAATAGTCGTTGGATCTGTTGCTGGTACAGCTGTTAGTGCTAAAATTGCTGTTGAATGTAATACTGGTACTGTCGTTAGATCAGTTGGTGATGCAGTCGTTGAAGCTAAAGTGGTTGAAGGTTGTGTTGTTGATCCTGTCGTTAGATCTGTTGGTGTTACAGTCGTTGGATCTAAAGTTGTAGTAGGTTGTGTTGTTGGTCCCGTTGTTGAGTCTGTTGGTTGTACAGTCGTTGGATCTGTTGATATTACAGTTGTTGGATCTGTTGGTGTTACAGTCGTTGGTTCTGAAGTTGTTGAAGGTTGTGTTGTTGGTACTGTTGTCGGATCTGTTGTTGATCCTGTCGTTGGATCTGTTGGTGTTACAGTCGTTGGTTCTGAAGTTGTTGAAGGTAGTGTTGTAGGAATAGTCATTGGATCTGTTGCTGGTACAGCTGTTAGTGCTAAATTGCGTTGATTGTAATACTGGTACTGTCGATAGATCAGTTGTGATGCAGTCGTTGAGTTTAAAGTGGTTGAAGGTTGTGTTGTTGATCCTGTCGTTAGATCTGTTGGTATTACAGTCGTTGGATCTAAGTTGTAGCGATTGTGTTGTTGGTCTGTTGTTGATCGTTGGTTGTACAGTCGTTGGATCTGAAGTTGTTGAAGGTTGTATTGTTGGCACAGTCGTTAGATCTGTTGGTGTTACATTCGTTAGTTGTGAAGTTGTTGAAGGTTGTGTTGTTGGTACTGTTGTTGATCCTGTCGTTGGATCTGTTGGTGTTACAGTCGTTAGTTCGGAAGTTGTTGAAGGTTGTGTTGTTGGTACTGTTGTTGGATCTGTTGTTGATCCTGTCGTTGGATCTGTTGGTGTTACAGTCGTTGGTTCTGAAGTTGTTGAGGTAGTGTTGTAGGAATGTCGTTGGATTCGTTGCTGGTACAGCTGTTAGTGCTAAAATTGCTGTTGATTGTTATCCTGGTACTGTCGATAGATCAGTTGGTGATGCAGTCGTTGAGGCTAAAGTGTTGAAGGTTTGTGTTGTTGATCCTGTCGTTAGATCGTTGTGTTACAGTCGTTGGATCTTAAGTTGTAGCAGGTTGTGTTGTTGGTCCTGTTGTTGAATCTGTGGTTGTACAGTCGTTGGATTGAGTGTTGAAGGTTGTATTGTTGGCACAGTCGTTAGATCTGTTGGTATTACGTCTTTTGTTGTGAAGTTGTTGAAGTTGTGTTGTTGGTATGTTGTGTTACTGTTGTTGGATCTGTTGTTGATCCTGTCGTTGGTCTGTGGTGTTACGTCGTTGGTTCTGAAGTTGTTGAAGGTTGTGTTGTTGGTACTGTTGTTGGATCTGTTGTTGATCCTGTCGTTGGATTGTTGGTATTACAGTGTTGGTTTGAAGTTGTTGAAGGTAGTGTTGTAGGAATAGTCGTTGGATCTGTTGCTGGTACAGCTGTTAGTGCTAAAATTGCTGTTGATTGTATACTGGTACTGTCGTTAGATCGTTGGTGATGCAGTCGTTGAGGCTAAAGTGGTTGAAGGTTGTGTTGTTGATCCTGTCGTTGGATCTGTGTGTTACAGTCGTTAATTCTGATTTGTTGAAGATTGTGTTGTTCAGTACGTTGGATCTAGTTGTAGTAGGTTGTGTTGTTGGTCCGTTGTTGAGTATGTTGGTTGTACAGTCGTTGGATCTGTTGATATTACAGTTGTTGGATCTGTTGGTGTTACAGTCGTTTGTTCTGAAGTTGTTGAAGGTAGTATTGTTGTTACTGTCGTTGGATCTGTTGGTGTTACGGTGGTTGTATCTAAAGTTGTTGAAGGTAGTATTGTAGGTACTGTCGTTGGATCTGTTGCTGGTACAGCCGTTGTGCTAAAATATTTGCTGTTGATTGTATTTGGTACTGTCGTTAGATCAGTTGGTGATGCAGTCGTTGGGCTAGAGTGGTTGAGGTTGTGTTGTTGATCCTGTCGTTGGCTCTGTTGGTGTTACAGTCGTTGGATCTAAAGTTGTAGCAGGTTGTGTTGTTGGTCCTGTTGTTGAATTTGTTGGTTGTACAGTCGTTGGATCTGAAGTTGTTGAAGGTTGTATTGTGGGCACAGTCGTTAGGTCTGTTGGTGTTACAGACGTTAGTTCTGAAGTTGTTGAAGGTTGTGTTGTTGGATCTGTTGGTGTTACAGTGGTTGTATCTAAAGTTGTTGAAGGTAGTATTGTTGGTACTGTCGTTGGATCTGTTGCTGGTACAGCCGTTTGTGCTAAAATTGCTGTTGATTGTAATATTGGTACTGTCGTTAGATAAGTTGGTGATGCAGTCGTTGAAGCTAAAGTGGTTGAAGGTTGTGTTGTTGATCCTGTCGTTGGATCTGTTGGTGTTACAGTCGTTGATTCTGAATTTGTTGAAGATTGTGTTGTTGGTACAGTCGTTGGATCTAAAGTTGTAGTAGGTTGTGTTGTTGATCCCGTTGTTGAGTCTGTTGGTTGTACAGTCGTTGGATCTGTTGATATTACACTTGTTGGATCTGTTGGTGTTACAGTCGTTGGTTCTGAAGTTAATGAAGGTAGTATTGTTGGTACTATCGTTGGATCTGTTGCTGGTACAGCCGTTAGTGCTAAAATTGCTGTTGATTGTAATATTGGTACTGTCGTTAGGTCAGTTGGTGATGCAGTCGTTGAGGCTAGAGTGGTTGTAGGTTGTGTTGTTGGTCCTGTCGTTGGCTCTGTTGGTGTTACAGTCGTTGGTTCTAAAGTTGTTGAAGGTTGTGTTGTTGGTCCTTTCGTTGAGTATGTCGGTTGTACAGTCGTTGGATCTGTTGGTCGTACAGTCGTTGGTTCTAAAGTTGTTGAAGGTTGTATTATTGGGACTGTCGTTGGATCTGTTGGTAGTACAGTCGTTGGTTCTAAAGTTGTTGTAAGTTGTGTTGTTTGTACTAGCGTAGGATCTGTTAATGCTATACTTGGATCTGTTGGTGGTACTGTCGTTGATGCTAAAGTTGTTGGAGGTTGCGTTGTTGGATCTGTGATTCCTAAATCTAATTCCGGAGCCGCCGAAGGTATGACGAAGATCTGAACTTTTCTTCCTTTAATGCATAATTCGTTAAGTATGTACACAATTACAATTTGAGAAAATAAAGAATCAGAATTTATTTTTTTCCGGTTGTTTAAATTCTAATTTCACTTACGTGCGGAAGTAGATCTTGCTCTGCGTATATTTTTACGTACGTTTGTCAATGTCAGCAAAGTACTCCAGAAAGGACTTTGATGCCAGTAATTAGTAGTATGGCTGACATCTCCTGGAGAATTATAGATAACCGCTGTGGTTTTATCATAATCACAAACATATTGCTATATAACGTAATACGTACTGTTATGTCTCCAGGCACTGGTTTTCAATATTTTGCTCAGCAGTCCAATAGGTCGGACATCAAATTCATTGGTAGGCGGATTATTGTTGCTTATGATGTTTGGCTCATTAAGCGCTGAGAATTTGTAGTTTTTATTGAATTAATATTTTACGAAAACTCGAAAACTAAATCGAATAGTAAATGATTTTCACAATTACCAATCTGCTCTGTTTGGAATGGATGTGCTTCACTGGAATGTAAAAGGAGGAGTGTTGCCACCAACAGTCTTATAGTGTCAGATCCCATCACAGCTCTTACTTTTTTAGAATTGTTTTCTCTGAAAATATATAAAAGCAACTTGATAGGGAAAAGTGTTTATACTCTTTTTCTTTAGCTTGGTTTATCAGCGCAAGATTTTTATAGTATAACTACTTTGACAACCATTATCGCGGTCTGTGTAAAGAGCGTGGATCTGGAGCTCGAATTTCAAAAATACCTTTCAACAGTATTGGTTCTTCGATAAACGGAGATGTTCAGTTTTTGTATGAAAAAAAAACCTTTTTGAAGATTCGTCAACCCCAGGTCTTAAAAACGGCAGGATAATATTAAGATTATTACTGTACATTTAAAGGATAATTTAGTTCCAAAGGCATTGGGTCTGCTTAATCAGGAAGCAATCTGGATTAATATTTGACTCCTGATGCTTACCTCAACCACCTATTTCGTTTTCTGTTTCGACCCTTTGCAATCACAAATTATCCTCAAAGCTTACAAGCGCACTGAACTGGAGCCTCAATTATTTCGATTAGCCTCACGAACAAATTTTTTTTAAACTGGCAGTCAGTGGGTTCGACTGCTTAAATTTATAAATACGCGCGTACCTCGCAGCACGTTGAAAAATGTGCGTACAATTGTCGAACGTGCTTATATTGATACACGTAACTGTAAAATAATAAAAAATTATGTGCTAAAATATTTTGTTAAACTATTAACTGAGAAATTACAATTAATTGGAAAAAAATTACGTTTTTTGGTGAAACTAGAAATCTATATAAAGTATTCATACATGTGTAGATATTAAAAATTCTTGACCGTAACCTTAATTGTTTTTAATAACTAATTAATAAATATGTACAAAATTTATATGAAATCTAAAAAAAAAATTTAAAAAAAAATGCATTTCTAGTGTTAGTTAAGCTAAGTATTTTTTCATAAATTTTGATCCGAACAACGAATGATCAAACTCCTCAATACACCCATCATCAGTATCTTAAACCTTCACAATAAAAGAGAGATCAAAGGTAACTGCCTACCCGGTTTGTATTGGAATATCATAGAACTTTTTCGCTCAGACAGAGCGAGAACCGATTCCATATCTTACCGTGATTGTCGTTCTGGCAGTCAAACCATGATCCATGATCATCCATAAAGGGTTCAAGTTACCTGATGCATACCTCTATTCTAATCTACCTGGAGCAACATAGATGACATTCGCTCAATTACATTCTGGAGCAGGTTAAAATTCTACAAATCAAGACATATGACTGACATACCAAATATGGGTATGATCTATCACCTCTTTTTCAATGGTTGTCGTAGACAATACTGAAATAATTTGAGATAACTATTGTAAACGAGTTAGAGTCCCGAAATCGATATATTTTACTATTACTCCAGAAAATACTCTACTCTTTTTATTAAAAATATTTTCAAGATCATTAAATATTTCACCGTACTTGCTTTTGTAGGTTCGGTGCTTATAGAAAGATAAATTGTATTTAAGTAAACCTGGAGATATAGTCGGCAACACTTTTTACCTAAGTAGTACCTAATTTTACTTTTTGAAATATACATACAATCTCATTGAGTACGGTACGATAAAACATCGACTCAGTGCTATTTATTCACCTCCAAAAATTTTCATTACATTTTTGGGTAATATGAAAAAGACATTGTGTGAGAGAACCTGGAAAGTGATACCTTTATTATAGAAATTGCATTTGTTTTCATAAAAGGCACTGCTAACTGTAAATATAGAAAAATTTATGACAGAGAACGCCAATATTCTATTTTGGCCAAAGTGAGGTTCTTGTATTTGTTCTTGTAATCCATATTAAATGTTCCACAGAAAAAATCGCCTTCAGTAATTTTTAGTTAACAAAGAGTGCATTTCTTGACGTGATTTACTTAAGGGTGCGTTGCTTCTTGAGGGTTTTATATGAGATTATTCTTGTCAGAATGATACGGAATGGTTTGATATTGTCTGACGGGACAAAAACGGTTGAAAAACCTTTTTCGAATAGTCGACAGGAGTCTTAAATCTAACCAGTCGAAAAAGTTGGGGTCTATAGTCGATGAAAGAATCGTCAAGTTTCATCGTAATACCAATAGAGTGGTAAAAATTGCAGTTTACTAAGGCTAAGTCTAAAGTACAAGCTCTGTTCTAATCTACTTTATACTATTATTTTAAAAATTCCAATAACTTCTAAAACATTACTGTCTTTGTAAGTTATGCACGGCTGTGCTTAAAAACAGCACTATATTTTGTGATTTAGTGTCTACCATTCCATCCGAAGTGAGTACAATGGTCTTGTAGCCGGTGTTAAGTTCTAAGTCAATAAACATTTAAAAAGTGGTTTCCAATAGCGGTCGTCATGTAACGATGTTAATTCGAATGTATTTCAAATAGTCAAAATATACTTCTTAAGATTTTCCGAGCTTTAGGCTCGCTTAAAGCTTCCCACATGACAAAGTAGGAACGTAGGTTTGCAAAATACTTAGTCAAACTTGCATAACAATTTTAATAAATTTTTTAGTTTAAAATACAATTACAATTCTTAAAAAAATAGCTATCTCTTATCTAAGCTACAATATAATACGCTATGTTAAAGACACCTAATTATCCATAAATTATTGGCCGACGAATCGATGCACGCGATAAGAATTTATGGCTTGGTGCTGGGTAATGCACTGGCTTCCTGGCATAAACATTCTTTCCAACGCAGCAACCATTACGTTTAGGTGTTTCTTTTCTATTGCAAAGACGCCCATTGCAACGCTGTGCTGCGTACGTTGCTGGAAGTGGTTTCGGTGGGTGAACTATGCGCGGTGTTATAATCCTTGCTGGAGCTGTTTGCCGCGGAAAACATACTATACGAGTACTTCTTCTACTTCCAGCCAATCCATTATCGCTTATTCGTATACAATTATTAGGCGCTGAAGCTCTGGTGTAATGGGCCACCGATGGATAACTATGAGGAACTTTAGGTCGAGAGTACACATAGGAAGATCGTGGAGGGGCTATATGATATGGAGGATACTTTACGTAGAGTGGGTGAGGTGGACAAGGAAGAATTGTCGGACGAACAGTTGGAGATATAGTAGGAGGAACAGTGGGTGTGGAAATAGGTGGTTCAGTAGGTGCAGCAGTTGGTGCTGAAGTTGGGGGAGCAGTTGATACAGCAGTTGGTGCAGCATTTGGTGACATAGTAGGTGGTGAAGTTGTTGGTACAGTGGTTGGTTCGGTAGGTGCTACAGTTGGTGCAGCAGTTGTTGGCACAGTAGGTGGTGAAGTTGTTATTACAGTGTTTGATGCAGCAGTTGGTGGTACAATGGTAGGTGCAGCAGTTGGTGGCACAGTAGGTGTTGAAGTTGGTGATACAGTAGTTTGTTCGGTAGGTGCTACAGTTGGTGGCACAGTGTTTGATGCAGCAGTTGGTGCAGCTGTTGGTGATACAGTGGTAGGTGTAGCAGTTGATCGCACTGTAGGTGGTGAAGTTGGTGGCAACGTAAGTGCTAAAGTTGGTGATACAGTGGTTGGTTCAGTAGGTGCTAATGTTGATGTTGCAGTTGGTTTTGCAATCGGTGACACTGTTGTTGGTACGATGGCTGGTGCACATGGTGGTATAGTAAGTTGTGTAGCTGGTGGAATTTTCGGTGATATGGTGATCATTGATGAAGTTGTTGATTTCGTTAATATAACTTCATCAGTGGGCGCCTCGCCAGGAATAATGAAAGTTTGACCATTTCTTATTCTTTTACGATGACCTTTGAATTGTGAAGAAAGTTTTCAATATGTTTGATCAAATATTGTTATTTAATGTGAATTTTCAAATACATACTTTTTTTTAATTTTTTCGTACTGTTTGGTGTATTAGTTACAGACCTAATCGTTCGTTGACCAGTTAGGGGCTGTTGTGCTATCTTAAGATGAGACGTATATGCTTCGAGTTTGGGTATACTTTTGGAAAAATATATGGCGTAGTCGCTTCTAGCCTTTTTCGGATTAAGTACTGCAAGTATTATATACGAGTACAGAAAGTTATTATTGGCCATCAAGGTTCAATAATTATTCTTTTTTTTATACTTACGCCTCTGACTTGAGCTGCTGTTACGGGTTCTGGATTCAAGTGCTGGAGAGTTGGTTATATTTTGGTAGCTTGCAGCCAGAATATCATTATTTGAATTAGTTCTTATTTCCAATTGTAGAAATCTTTCTTCAGCTTTAACGAAATTGGTGCCATAGCAGACCAAAATTGCGATGGCCAGTAGCAGCCAACTGGCCTCGGATCTCATAACTGTATTGTTTGCGTGTTACGGTTAACGCTTTAATATTTTAGAAATATACTACATCTTACAAATTAATTAAAGAAATAAGTTGTTTTAATTTGGCTTTTCAGAATCCTTGTGTACAGAAGAAGTCCCTTTTAGGCCACTCACTATAAGCTATCTTTATTGATTCTTATATTCCCTTAATTTCGCATATTCTTCAGACGTTTTCTGGTATAAGCAGCTCTTAAAGTAGATCTTAATCTAATATGCCACTACTAAACTTCTCAGCATTCCACATGGCTCTGCTTAGAATTTATAAGCTGTCTTGATTTCACCAAATTTTGCCGAATCGAAAAAACAACTGGTATAAAGCAACAGATTGGCATAATGAAATAGAGTTGGAAATAAATATGAGTTATTCAGTTAAACTTTAATAGTGAACTTAACTGAATAGCTCAGCTGCTGCTTTCTCATTCGACAAGAAAGCGGAGATCATTTGCAAACAGGACACTTCTAACCATGGGCCAAGCCTTATATATCAACAAAACATGAGCATACCACAAAATTCAGATTACTAGTTGATTCGTTTGGATGATGGAAGCTCTCAGATAATCCAAGTACAGGTTGGTTGGTTTCACCAAGAAATAGCACTACCAGCAGCAAGTTCTTTCAAGTTGGTACATCTGTTGTGAGAACACATGCAAAGTTACAAGTCATTCCGTCAATTAATTCTTTGTTTACAAGCAATTTGAAGTTGACGTGTCAGAGTATTTTTTTATTATTTTATATGGAAAAAATTTAATATCGCGCAGTGATTAGATTCTTTGTTTTAAAAGGTTTAAAAGCATAGGAAATTTATGAACAATTATAAACGTGGTCGTAGTAGGCTTGAAGACAATCCACGCGAAGGACGACCAAAAACCGTAACCACACCAGAAATCATTGAGCAAGTTCATAATATTGTTAGTTAAAATTCAAGTTTGACTAAGCTTGAAATTGCTAATGCCATAGAGAAACCTTAAACAATTACTTCGTGGAAATCGTTTTTCGTTAAATGAAGAAGTCTATTATAGCCGTGACGAGTATTTTTCAGAGCTTCCGGAAAGTTATTATAGGGATGGCAAAAAATTATTAGAGGATCACTGGAATAAATGTATTAAAGTTAAGGGAGACAAGTATACCAAGAAGATTTTTTTATATATTGTAGATAATCCTTTGCAGAAACACGAGTACCCTGGTGTAGAATTTGGCTTAACCTTATTATTTCTGCAGTCGTATGTCTATTGTAATAATCTGTTGGAAAGCTTGGAGCCTTTTACATTGAAATTGTGCGTCGTCTAATCTCTTTAAAATATCAAATGTTATTTTGAAGGTATCTCTCGTTGTACAAAATCATTTTGTTTACACTTTTAGATTGTTTTTGTATTTCAAAGCATTTTTTTAGCACTAAAACCTCGTCTGTACCAAATATTTGCGAGACGTGCCACCTTGCAGTTCTCGGTCTATTTATTCACTTGAGCTTTATTTGGACACAAAGAAACAAATCAGCTCGTTTAAAAATTTTTCTCTTCTAATGATTTTTAGTCACTTACGTGTGTACACTGCACGACTGCGTGCATAACTGTTCACTGAATTTTCATAATTTCAAATAAATGTTTATATTTACTATCGCCCTTCTTGTATTTCCGTATTTTTAAGCTGCGAACGTGCTAATAAAAAAATAGTTGTGCATATTTAATAAAGTCTATGGCAGCATCATATGCGTTATTAAACAATAGAAAATATATAATAGTATTGTACAAATATAAGAGGAATTCAACACATCGAATTTGTTTAAGTTTGAAAAAAGTTCAACATAGGCGAACCTGTTCTTTATATTTTAAAATTTTTCGTCCGAATCAATAAAATCGTAATTTTTTCTTAAAGTAGCTGTTGAGCATCTAATAATGTCAAAAAAACAGAGAGTGTTGCGAGCAATCAGCCTCATATATATATATATATTATAACACCAAAGTCTAAATATCACGTAATTTTATTATTATACAATACCGACTTCATAGCAGACTGAAAATTAAAGAAAAACTTATTTCTAACTTCGGTTTTTTTCTTGGTAGGCAAGACTAATATAAATAAGATCGTGAAAGACCCAAAATTGTGAAGCTTTCTGGTAAAACCGACTACAGAAATGATTAAGTAAGTTTTCTACGCTAAATAGATTCGATAGGATATTTATGGCAGATACATTACTGCAAAGGCCGCTCTAAGGCTCAGAGAAACATCATTGCATCACTGACACAACTTGGACCACTGCATCGCAGAGGCTACTCCTGGTATCTGTTTCTACGGCCACGTACCAACGAGGGATATGTGGATGGGGAGAAGTCGCTGGTGCAAAGTCACAGTGAGCTTTTTCACAAATAGATTGAAGCTAGGAAAGAAGGCTGAAGAGGAAGATTTCTGTATAGAGCTTAACTTTAGGCTAACGGACTATTTCTAGCAAAAGTACCTGCTATTAGCAGTAGACATACTGCTCCGAAGTGCAGCTTCTTTCAGGGAGGTGAGACGCCTCAAAGTTAGTCAAGGAATGGCTAACCTCACAAGCTTTATCATCAAGCTACTTCATTATCCGACTCGTTTTGGAGCCTGGTCATAGCGGAAACACTGGGAACTGTATAGCCGATGAGCTACCAAAATGGGGCACCCTTACTAATAACATCGGAATGGGAACGAGTTGGATTCCCGTTGTCATCATACACTGGACATATGAACCTCGCGTGCCCTTAGCAGGCGTTGGTCAACAATCATCCTGTGCATGACTGTGAGATCCCTCTGACCTAGAGTAGAACGAAGGAGATTTACTAAACTGTCGCCCTTAGCAAAGTTTATTTTACCGCAATCGTAGAAGTTCATACTGGACATTGTCTAATAAGCATTCATGCTATAAGGCTAAGAATCCAGTCGGACGCAAACTGTCAAAGTTCTAGAGAACAAGCTAAAGTGTAAACATCCTGGCATTTTCTTCTTCGTTGTTCAGCTTTTACAAGACTGAGAGCGAAATTTTTCGGCGGTCGTACTTTCCACAAACCAATAGACATAGCCGAAACTGACTTTAGCCGCTTCAATAAATTTGTGATCGGCTCAAAGCGCTTCATCGATTTATGAGAGACTTCATGATACATTTTTTAGCACTTTTAGGTACCACAACGGACCGGTGTTCTGAGCCGTCGAAGTGAAATCACCGTTATATTGCAAAAAATACGCTCTGAAATATTCCAGCGCTTGCGGACATATATAAAGATGACTCGAATAAATTGAGTGCATAAGATTAAGGTTATGGCATATGGGATTCAAAAAATCTAACTCCATAGACGTATTCTAGACTTAACACAATGAGTTATTGAGGAAACCTTTAAAGTAGACACAAAGTCTCTGTCGTGCTACTGTTTCAATGCTTATGATTATGAATCATTCCTTGCGTATTACGCTCGGCTATGCGCCCTACTCTGTTTTGACTATTAATAAAATAAAATATTAATTTTTATTCACAATCTGTGCGAACTTTTATTGGAGTGTGTTGCAATGTACAAACTGTGGCGAACGTGACACTAAGAATATGCTCTTATGCAATAAAATATAGTAGTTTTGAAGTAGTAATTCACTAATATTAATAAATGGGTTTTATATAATAATTACTTTTACCTCGTTTAAATACACATCTTCCCTTTAATATAATAGCATAAGGTATCAGCGCCGACTTGAGATAAACATCGCAAAACCAAAGATCATGAGAGTCAATCACTCTAGTAGAAGCCAGAAAATACTGACAATAATAAAATCGACTTCGTCGACAGCTTCTGCTACCTCGAAAGCATTATAAGAACTGACGGAGGAGCAAAGCTCACAATCTCTCTCTGAATATGCCAACAAGTACTTACGAATTATCTGCAAAATAGTTTGTCCCAAAACTATAAACAAACAAGGGTTATTGAGTTTAATACATGTAGAAGAGGTACCAGTACTGTAGCAAATAAAGCTCAAAAAGTGGGATTGAATCTGAATAAAATCCAAACAACATTACACGCGAGCTTGACTAGAATAAGTAGCACTCGCGGTCGACCAAAATTAAGAAATTTTGTTACAACCTTGTAGAAGTCCTACGTTGCAAAAAGAAATAACAAGAAACACTATATGTAACAGCAGATGATTTGATCTCGTTTGGTCTTCTAGCGTTTGTAGGTCTGTGCCAAAGTTAATAAAGATATTTTGTCAAATAAAACAGTTTTATATACAATAACTTGATTTTTAAAAGTTAGTTTGATATGGGCGGCTCCGACAAATGAGCAGATTCCTGAGGAGAAAAAGACGTGTACAAAATTTCGTTATTCGTCGATATCTCAAAAACTGAGATACTAGTTCGCGTGTTTACTGACTTAAGTTCATCACGTTGGTGATTTATATATATACCTTATAGGGTCTCAGATGTTTCCTTTTGGGTGTTACTAACTTCGTAGTAAACTTAATACAATCTGTTCAGGGTATAATAAGAGTCTCATTACGACAAAGTTTCTTCTCTTGTCGGCAATTAATTCGTAGATTTGAGAACAATGTTCTACCGAGTACTAGTGACTTTTGCGATATTTTCTACTGAATTTATAATTTTAGGTTCCTTTTGTTTAAGTTCTTTGTTAGAGTCAGCAGTCTAGATTTCGCAATGAAATGTTTTCGTCGACCGAAAAATGAGTTTCTGCCACCAAAAAAAGTATTCGGCCGCAAAAAAGTTGTCGGACTTTGGTAAAATTCAAATGAATTTATCCCAAGTAAGGAACACGGTTAATCCATATTAAATATAGATGAAGTAAGTTTAAGGGATATGTTAAGAATTTAACCTAACTGGTTCCAGCGAGCTTAAGCTTCTTAAATTTATATTAATTTCGCTTCGTTCAAGCTATGATGATAGAGTAGCAGTTTAGATAGAGACATTGTAGTAGTAGTTCTCAACGGTGCCTGAAATCCTAGAAATCCAGTTCCTCTATATAATTTTTTATTAATAGAGTAGAATATTGATAAAATGTTTCACTTTTCATAAATCATTAGACAAGACCACCTACCGAAAGTGATCTCGTAGTCATATATCAATAAATGAACTCGGACTAGGATAAGAAACCGAGCCAAAAGCGAGTACATTCTTCTAGGAGCAGGCGATTATAATTGTTTCTTGCAGGGATTAACAACCAAAAACTCCCCTAATTTTTTAGTTTTAAGTTAGTTAAGAAAAATCTTTCCGCTTTTTTACAAGTCGGTCTTTATTATCAAAGAGTGTCTACATTATTTTTAATATTTTTTAAGGATTAAAGCGATCGGATCTTATCTGCATAGATTGCTCTGATTGCACGTAATGCGCTGCCTGTGATTGCTGTGGTGAATGTTGATTTTGAGTCGGTGCTGGAGCAACTACTGCAGCGTGATGATGAGAGTTTTCACTACAACACTCCTTCTCATCTTTCGATGTGTTCCACTTATTGCAACGACGCCGAAAGCAACGTGTTCTTAGAGCTAGATGTGGTACTGCCGGAGGTAAAACTAATATTTGGGGGGAAGAATTATGGGGTGAATCTGTTGGCTTTGGCACACAAACTACGCTCGATTTTCCGTTCGTGCCGTCAAAATCAAGTTCGGTTATTTCATAACAATTAGTTGACGGTATTTTTGGTTGTACAATTGTAATTTCTGCTGGTGGTGGTACTTTTGGTACATGTGGCACATAGGAAGGCACCTGTGAAGGTGGATATGTAGGATACTCTGGATATGGGGGATAAGGTGGATATTTAGGATACGGAGGCAATGGAGGATATGGTAGTAATGTCGGTGGTTGCGTGGGCGGCAATGTTGGTGGCAAGGTCTGTGGTTGAGTAGGAGGTAAAGTCGCAGGGAGAGTTGGACGGAAAGTTGGTGGTAGAGTGGGTGCCAAAGTTGGAGGGAGTGTAGGGGGTAAAGTTGGTGGAAGTATTGGAGAAAAAGTTGGCCGCAAAGTTTGTGGAAGAGTTGGAGGTAGGCTCTTAGGTAAAGTTGGCACTGTCGGTGATTCTGTTGGAGGCGGGGTTGTTGTTTTAACTTTCGGCTTACAATGTACCCTTTGCCTTACACTATTTAAGATATTCAGATCGGCATTAATTTGTGGACTTAAGTCGACACCAGTGAAGACTTCATTATTGTCGCCAACAATATCTGCGCCGGATATGCCTAAAAAAGTATTAAATAATAGAAGTATTAGGAATATTTGACCACTATTGGAATAGTGCCAACAATACTTACGCTCCTGCACATTGTCGATATTACTGTCAACACAGTCGATTTCACCATTCGCACCCGGCAACAATATATTCGTCACACTAGATGGCTCTTGCAAAATGTCGCCTACAAGACCGGTAAGCTGCTCGACTTGATTGAGCACTTGCAAATTTACACCCACTTGTGGTTTTACTTTGGCCAAAGTGGTTACCGTATTGTTGTCACCACGAATAACGGTAGCATCATTGACTAAGTGGGAGTAAAATGTAAGCTTATTGTTTATAATTAATTTTTCTACAACCAAAACTCATACTTTGCTGTCTACTGCCAATATTACTGCCACTGCCGCCATCACCCAGTAAACCACCAAGTAAACCACCGCCGCCGTTTTCACCTCCTGCACCGGTTTGCGTCACTGCATTAAGCAAGTCTATGTTGAGACCAATTTGTGGCGCCACGTCGGCCAAGGTGAATACCTCGTTGCCAGAGCCCTGAATCACAGTTTCGCTGCTTTCTATAAATCAAATGCAGAAGCTTACCACTGATGCCACAAAGGTCTAAACTAATTGCAAGTAAATAAGATCCACATTCACTTACGTGTTTGACTTCCACCAATACTATTGCCAGATGCTCCAGCGCCTCCCGGCCGTACGGGTCTGCCTGCAATTGCTAAAAGTTCAGGAAAATTTAAATAATTCTATGGCAGCAACAAAACAAACTTACGAGGTTGAACACCACTAGCAGAACTGGCATCACCGATTCCAACGCCTTGTACGCCACGGGCTTGCTGGTTCACCAAATTCAAGGCGTTTACATCGGCATTCACTTGCGGGTTAACATTTAGTAAGCTGCTAACGGTATTCCCACTGCTAATTATGCTGTTCCCAGTATCCACTAAAATATGGAAAAAATCATATAAAGCTCGTCATAACTATTTACTAGGTGAGAATACTTACTGGCTTGCTTGCCAGCGATATTGTTGGTCGCACCGCCCAAACCGCCGAGTAAGCCGCCTAATAAGCCACCACCTGAATCACCACTACCGGTTGCGCCAGCAACAGTTTTTGTAACTGAATTTAGCAAATTTACGTCAGCGTTGACTTGTGGATTCACGTTAACGAGACTCGAAACAGTATTGCTGTCACCTAAAATGCGAGCGCCGGTATCCACTGGAAACATCAACGTACGATAAGTTTATAAGGAGTTGTTTATAAACAGCAGGTATTATATTATATTACATCATAGCTTCGAACACTTACTGACTTGCCTGCCGCCAATATTATTAGCTCCACCACCGAGCCCACCAAGTACACCACCCAATAGTCCTCCACCTTTCTCCGCACCTCCACTTCCTGTGGCCCCAGAAACGGTTTGTGTAATAGTATTGAGAATATTTACGCCAGCATTCACTTGTGGATTTACACTAACGAGACTTGAAATCGTATTGTCATCGCCTACAATGCGAGCTCCTGCGGATTCTGTTCGGAAATAGAAATGTATATATTTATTAATTATTAACCTTAAATCTTTGTGACTTACGAAGTTGGCTGCCACCAATATTATTTCCAGCTTCTCCAGCAACAATACCAGGGCGACTTACACCAGCAGGCTTACCGCTCTTGGCTGCACCACCGGCCACAGCAGTCGCTTCCTCCATAACAGCATTTAGCGCATTGACATCAGCGTTCACTTGGGGATTGAAGTTCAGTAAACTGGAAACCGTATTGCCTCTTCCTACAACACTGGTGCCGGCGTCCACTAAAGATAATAAAATAGTTAGAATGAAAGCAATTTTTCTGAATACAAATAATTGTCTTACTAATGTGCTTGCCACCAATATTGTGGGTTGCCCCTCCGAGTCCACCTAATAATACACCGCTTTTACCACCACTTCCTCCACCTGTGGCTCTAGAAACTGTATTTAGCAGGTTTATACCAGCGTTCACTTGTAGATTTACATTCGCGAGGCTCGAAACCATGTTGCCGTCCCCCACAATGCGAGCTCCAGTGGATTCTACAGCAAATAAATGTGGTCAGTATTTCTGTCGTATCTGTCGCATCTGTCAAATCAGTCATACAAAGCTATGTCTTCAAACTTCAAATTTCACTACTTACGACTTTGACTGCTTCCGATATTGTTTCCAGCTTGATCTAATCCTGCTGCTTTTGCCCCAACTGTTCTTGTAGCACTATATAGTCCGCCTGCAGCTCCTTAGCGCATTATCGTCAGCGTTCACTTGAGGGTTAAGGTTTAAAAGACTGAAAACCTGGTTGTTACTTCCTTGTATGGCACTGCCTGTATCTACTAATAATAAATAGTTGAGTCGGTAAGAGATCCATTTAAAATAAGCCAAGATGGTTATGAAATCCGCTACTTACTAACTTGCCTGTCATCAATATTCTTTGATGCACCACTGATTCCACCAAGAACACCACCTAAGATTCCACCACTATTAACAGCACCTCCACTACCTGTGGCCCCAGAAACGGTTTGTGTAACCGTATTGAGCAGATTCACATTCGCATTGACTTGTGGGCTGATGTTGATAAGACTAGAAATCGTGTTACCTTGGCCTATTATACTTGTTCCAGATTGCTCTGAGGATATAATTTTAAACGGTTATTAAGAAATATTAATTAAAGATATATTCGACCTTGTTACAGTATATATTTGGAAGCTTTTTCATACAAAACAAAAATCAAGTTTAAATATTTAGCTTTTCACGAACTGTGGCCTCCACAAATGACAGCTGAACTCTATTACACTAGGAAATAAGAGAGCCGTTATACCTCAACTTGTTATCCCTAACTAACTAATAGACTCACATTTTAGAGACTTCAGATATTATCAACAATAATTTGTAACGAACATATGTACTAGAAAATAGAATATGCACCAACAACGCTGTTTGGTACTTACGAACTTGGCTGCCTCCGATATTGTTTCCGGTTCGCCCGGCCGCACGCCCACTAACAGCTCCTCCAGATATACCAATTGCTTTCTGATCCACAGCGTTAAAAGCATTTACATCCGCATTCACGTGAGGATTAACATTCAATAAGCTGCTAACGGTATTTCCACTACCAGTTATGCTGCTTCCCGTGTCCACTAAAAAAAGAAAAATCATATAAAATGACTATCGTGGACAACTAAAATATTTATAAGCAGTTAGGAGAGATTTATGAAATCATGTCGGTGTTCCTTAGCGCAACGAAAGCCTAGACATTAGGCTTGAAAAGAACACTAAACATAAGCTCAGTTTTTACACGGATTAAGCCGCTTTCTTCATGATACTACTTGTATAGCCAACATTGGTATATATACTTGCTTATTTGATTTCCTCCAATATTATTTGTGGCACCTCCAACACCACCTAGTACGCCATCTAAGAGTTCATCACTGTTACCAGCATTTCCACTGCCTGCTGCACCGGACACTGTTTGGGTAACGGTATTAAGTAGATTTACGTCTGCATTTATTTGTGGGTTGACATTCGCCAGTCTCGAAACCGTATTGCCATCGCCAACAATGCGAGCCCCTGTGGATTCTGTTTGGAACCGGGAATTTATGAAATTGTTTCTGCAATTACGAATCCTTGAATATTTGTAACTTACGTTGTTGATTACCTCCAATATTATTTCCAGAACTGACTGTTCCAGTGGTTACGCTAGTCACACCAGCCGCTTCCTGTCTGACATTTAAGGCATTGACATCAGCGTTTACTTGGGGATTAAGGTTCAGTAAACTGGAAACCGTATTACGACTACCTATGATACTGGTGCCGGTGTCCACTACAAAGAATGGAAACAGTTAGAGCAAACTTATTACAATTTAAGTGCCTGCAATAAATATTTACTTACTAATTTGCTTGCCACCAATATTGTTGGTTGCTTCACCGGGTCCACTAAGTACGCCTCTTAATAGTCCAGCACTTTTACCGGCACCTCCTCCACCTGTAGCTCCACAAATGCTTTTCGTAACTGTATTTAACAGGTTTACGCCAACATTAACTTGTGGATTAACATTCGCGAGACTCGACACACTATTGCTATCGCCGACAATGCGAGCTCCTGTGGATTCTATAAGGAAGTGTAATTAGAAATTGTTTGTGGAATTACTAACTCTTAAATTTTTGTGACTTACGTAATTGAGTGCCTCCATTGACTACGTCGCCCGTGACACCAGAAGCTTCCTGTTTGATGTCATTTAAGGCACTTACATCAAGATTCACTTGCGGATTGAGATTCAACAAACTTGAAACCTGATTGCCACTACCCACTATGTTTGCTCCAGTAGCCACTAAAATTACAGAAGATTTATGAATAAATATATAAAATAATACAATATTAAATTTATTATATTACGAAAATTTTTCGTTTGAATAAACTACTTACTGACTTGTTTGCCACTGATATTATTGGCACCACTTCCCACACTACTAACTACACCCCCCAAAAGACCACCACTTTTTCCGCCAGCACTACCACCACCGCCGCCTGTTGCGCCGGAAACCGTTTGTGTAACTTGATTTAAGAGATTTACGCCAAGGCCAATTTGGGGATCAACATTGATAAAGCTGGAGACCACATTTTTGTCACCCACTATAGAGGCGCCAGAATGACGTGAAGAAAATATGGAACATTGAAAATTAATAGAAGAGCTAGATAAATTGAGTAGAAGTCTCTACTCTAACAGCCTGGATAAATACATCAAATAGCATTCAATATTGTGAGAATCGGCTAATACTTCAAAAATGATTTCAAAATATTAATTGAGTTCATAACCGTAAAGGGTACGCACGATATTGGTGTAGGCGAAAATTGAGGTGGAAGGCAGTGAATGGATGATTGAGCCCGAATTATTTTAGTTTATTTTTTAAAAACAACTGTACATAAATACTTACTGACTTGCTTATTGTCGTTATTATTGACTTCACCTCCGACTCCGCCTAGTAGTCCAGCACTTTCGCTACCGCCAGCTACTCCAGATACAGTTTGTGTAACGGAGTTCAGGAGACTTACACCAGCATTCACTTGCGGATTGACATTGGCAAGACTCGAAATAGTGTCACCAACAATATTAGCGCCTGTAGATTCTGAAAAAACAAGAATGTACTTTTATTTAATAAAAAACCCAAAAAACATTTTATCGGGAAAGTTTACTAAAATGGAGTAAAATTGTTGAATTACTGAACTTATCGAATATGTACGAGTATTACTACTTGAAAAAGGGGTATGAGATATTTCCATATGAAAAAGCTTTCAAGAAATTGTTTTCTGATAGCTTACAATAGCCTTCGGTATTGGCATAAAGTAAAAATACTCCACGTAACTCTACATAAAACCATAATCCTTCAGAGTTTTTGAAGTTGGTTAGATTAAGTTAGGTTAGGTTAAGATCCTAATTGGGATTTCACTTAGACAGCTTGGAATGCCGATCTATAATATAATGGTACCTATAACTCCTATATTATAGATAATAAGACCCTCGCAAATCGACAAAGCGCTTTGAGCCGATCACAAATTGGTTAAGATGAATAATGTCAGTTTCGGCTATGTCTCTTGTTTCGCCAAAGGTAAAACTGCCGAGACGTTTCAAACTTAGTCTTGCAAAGACTGGACAATGGAGGAGAAAATGTCTGGATGTTTTCATCTCCCTCAATAAAACTTTGGCAATTTGCGTCATGCAATATTTTTTGCTTTACCGCATGAGTGCCTATTGAACAATCTACACGTAGAACAGCAACGATTGCGGAAAAAAGAACTCCACTACGGGCAGTAATTCTGTATATCTCCTTCATTCTATTCCAAGCCGAACGGATCACATGAGCGGGTCGGCCCGCTGCGCCTGCTAAGCGCACGCGAGGTCCAGCGATTTAGCTATGACCAGCCAACCAAACGAGTCTGAGGATGAGGTAGCTTGAAGCCATTTCTATTTCTAGTGAAGACAGACACTCCTTGACTATCTTTGAGCGCATAATAAGCAAGCTCAGCGCTAGTATCGCCAGTTTTTGAAGAGAGTTAAAACACTAAACAGTCTTCAACTTGAATGATCTTAAATAATAAAGCTTTTTCTAAATTGGTAAAAAATTCATGTAAAACTACATTTTTTTAGTTGTTCCCACAAAGCTTTCCAGATGTTCGGAAGTAGCTTGGAGGATCAGCGATCCAAAAGAAACTAAAAACTCTAACTATCTACGGTTTCATCGGAATACTTTGTTGTAATATCTTAAATATCTGCTAGGCTAATGAGAACTAACTAATCAAGTAGGGCGTTCTTCGTAGTTCGTACGATTACGACCCATACTAAACAAAATGTATAAGAAATAATCCCAACCATCAATTATGTTATGAATCAACGTATAATTCTTCTTCAGGTATTTTCTTACGTATCTGTCTGCCTCCAATATTATTTCCTGATGAGCTAATTCCCCTGGTCACAGCCGTAGCTTGCTGCTCAACTGTATTTAAAGCGTTGACGTCCGCATTCACTTGAGGATTCACATTCAACAAACTACTCATGGTGTTACCGCTGCCTTTAATGAGCGCGCCAGTGTTCTCTAAAGTTTTGGAAGTAAGACTATAGTAATGCCAACTCTTTATGTTTATAAGTAGCAGCTTACTTACTAACTTGGTCTGAGCCAATGTTATTTCTGCCTGCACCGGCTGTACCACTCGCCGTTTGAGTTACTGAGTTTAACGCATTGACGACCACGTCCGCCTGAGGGTTGACATTCAACAGGCTAGTGACGGCGTTATTGTTACCGATGATTTGCGTTCCGGAGTTCACTGTGAAAAATATTTAACTATATTGACAAAAAGATTTAAAAGAAAATTGGATATAATAAAAAAAAATATTTTTAAAAAAAGTAAATAAAAGTAAAAGAAGGTTACTATTATAAAAAAAATTTAAACAATAATTTGTTATATTTTTTTTTTTATAAAGAGGTACAACTGAAAAAATATTTACAAAAACATACCGTTTACAACAAATATTTTAATGTTTTTAAACTAAGCATTTGCTTTAATTTGTTTAATTTATTAATTATGTAATGAAATTATTTTATTAAATTAAAATAAAATTTAGCAATTAATTTGAATACAAGATATTATTAAAAATAAATTATATTTAAAAAAAACTGAACCGAATTTTTTAATAGAAGTATTATTTTCTTTGTATGATTTATCTTATAAAATGTCTTAAAATTTATTTTAAAAAAACCAATTGTCTCTAAATTGTGTTAAAAAATATTTTTGTAACTAAAGTAATAGTAAAAAAATTTCACAAAAAGAATAATTTAAAAAATACATAAGTAATTTTTATTTAATTGTTTATTTTCGGTATTTACTTTATTTGTTTATTTTTAAAATTTTTATTTACAATTTATTTAAAAAAAAATTAACATTTTTTTATTCAAACCGAAAATTCATAAAACCTGCTTAAAATCTAGAAAACTTATTAACAAGTAAAAAATGTTTTAACTTTTTTTTTATTTTTGGCATCTGGTTTACTGAATTATGAAAAATTTATTTAAAAAAAAAATATTTAAATAACATAATAAAATATTTTTTTTTGTAATTTTTGGCATCTATTTTACTAATTTTGAAAATTTCATTTTAATTAAATTTAAAAAATTTAGTTTAAAATATATTTTACTAAAAAAAATCTAATTAATTTTTTCAAATTAAAATATTCATGTTTTTTTTTATTAAATTGAAATTACAATAAAATTATTATTTTTTAATCTCTAGTCTAACTTTCTTTATTTATAGGTATAATTACTTATTTAAAAAAATAAATTCACTTTTTTTTTTTAATTGTATCTCTTGCTATATATATTTGTTCCCTTTACTCCAAATTAATATTTATCACTCACTTATCTGTTTGGCACCATTACTACTAGCTCCAATAAGGCCCAAAAGGGCGGAGCCTGTGGCTAATAATAGCCAAATAATGACGAGTCGCATTGTGGTAGTTTGAATACCTGTTTAATATAAACTTATTTTTGTTTAACCACAACTTTTTAAATTAATATATATTATTTTATTTTTTGATAATACAAATTTTTGTTTTAATATTTATTCTTCAAAGAAAAAGACCGAACTTGCAAGACAACGCGCGGCTCACGGCCACAATATGGCTCAAAAGTGCTTGCTGATTGCTTTATATGTATGTCGAAGCTTAAGCTTGGCTTGCTGTTTCTTAGCTGTGTTCTTCTGCAACTTTATCAGCACAAGCCACTTATCAAATCGATGTTTGGTATGCGTTTAAGACGTGCGGTTATGTGGTGTTATCTTTAAATGGTTATCTTAAGCTCTGCAATATATCTATATATTAATAAAGAAGAGCGAATTTTCTTGTACGTGGAAAGAGGGAGAATGAGATGTGGCCTGTAGTTAAAAGATTTAATAGATGATTATCGGTATACTTATATAGGTTTTTGTATATTTTTACCGTTATTGCTGTCATATATAACTGACAGTAAAAAACTTTAACTGTTAGAGTTCTCAAAGTAAGTTATATGCATCTATATATTGGGCCTATAACTATATTTAAACGGTTATTATTTTCAAAGTTTAATGTTTATTTAAAAAAAACATAAACAATAATATTATGCAAAGTCTTGCATGTCCAAAGCTATAATATCAACTCACTTTATTTGCAATTTCTGAATTTCATACCAAAAGAACTGCGTCGGCGCCAAAGAATAAATCAATTCAATTTTTGATATCTTCTTCTAATGTGAAGCGTACTCCAGTGAGGACGTTCCACATTGACCGGAACATATGGTAGTCAGTAGGAGCAAGGTGGGCGGTTGAAACAAAACTTTTCAGCCGCTGTTTTCCAAATAGGTTTTAACCGGTCTTACAACATCAGGCCGATGATGGAAAATTATTACGTCTTGTCTAGTCGCAGATTCCGGATGGTTTTCGGCAATCGCTCGCTTCAGTTTGATAAATTGTTGTCGGTTGCATTAATCATTTCCCTGTTTTAGAAGCTCATAATACAGCACGCCCTTCTTCTGACATCACCAAATACCTTGGCATCATGTATATTTGCCTTTACTGTTGATTTGGATGGTTGACCAGGTTCCAACATAATTTTTTGCTTTTAGAATTGTCGACATGGCTTCATTTTTTATCATCAGTTACAATCCGATGCAAAAACGATTTCTTTTTGTAGGATTCAAGCAGCATTCCTGACATGCGAGGCATCTACTGGCTTCAATTCATATGGTACCCAATTTCTTCGATTTTGAATGAATTAGGCAGCTTTTAAACAATTTTAAATGGCTATTAGTACGACTAAATGTGTACATATATACCTTAAATTCCAAAACAATTGATACAGTACATTTTTTTTTAACTCCCAGAAACCCTTTTTTTGCACATAACCTTTACAAAGAAATGTAAAACAAAGACAAAAAAACGTTAGCTTCGGTGGCACCGTTGCTATAATACTCATCATAAATACAAAAGATAAATTCTAAATTTCGTGAAGATATCTCATCAAATGAAAAATCTGTCCACACAAGCACTCGATTCCGATCATTCAGTGCGTATGGCAGCTATATGCTATAGTAGTCCGATATCGACAGTTCCGGCAAATGTGCAGCTTCTTGGTGAAAAAAGGACGTGTGCACCGATATCTCACAAATTGAGAGACTACTTCACGTGCAGACAGACAGACGGACATGGCTAAATCGACTCAGCTCGTCAAGCTGACCATTCATATACCAAATATTGTTTAGAGGATCTCCAATGTTTACTTCTGGGTGTTACAAACTTCGTGGCAAACTTAATATACCCTGTTTAGGGTATGAAAATATTAACACTAAAGCTTACAAAGGAAAAATGTATACCTATATAATATATAACAACAACAACTGCCACGACAACAACAAAAACCGATGCACGATAACGACCACAGCACCACGTTCTACAAATCATATAGGTTGTGTGTTCTTTGCGACAAGTACGTCAACCACAACAACAACAGAAAAGCCAAGAAAACTTTTCTGTTTTAAACGGAAGTTCAAAAACTATAAGCGCCACATTTTCTAGTTTGGCTAGCGTCTTGGTTACAAATAATTATCAAACGCATTTCCGCCAGAAATGAGTTTCTCTTCAAACTTTCAAATCTATAAATACTTGAGGTTTTTATTTATTTTAATTCTGAATATTCTGCATTTCAAAATAAAATACATAACTACATACCTTCTTAAATACCCCAACAACCGTTAACCTAGTTAATTGCCGTTAAAGCGTTGCTTTGGCGCGTGTCTCTTTTATATTTTTATGCATATTCTTGCTTAAGTAAATTTAACTGTATTTACCATATATGTCTGTAAATATGTATGTTTGCTAGTTTGTTTGTACTTAATAACATTTTGTTTAAATAATATTTGACACAACAACAACATGCGTGACATTGCATTTTTTATTGGTAATGAAAATATTCGCACACATTGCGTTTCTATAACTATTAGGGTGGTTTGAAATGTGACTGCATAATATTCACCGAATGGCACTCAAATTACACAACTTTCATTATGTGTACAACAATTTTTGACTCACAAGTTTGGTTTGATTACTTAACAAGTTATAATCAAAGCAGTTTTTCTTCAGAGATATCATAGATATAGAGGTGAGTGAAACTAAAAAATTAGACTCAAGCTTACGCTCTCTCAGCCGCGATATTTTCACGTCAGCTTTTTTACAAAGAAGATATAAATTTTAGTACAGAGTGCACTGGAAGTAACACGATCAGAGAAGACTTTTATATATCGCAACATGTTGCTAAGAAATCTAATAAAATTCAGAAGGAATCTCTTTCTAATAAAAGTGCCTAAAATGGATGAAATTAGAGCACTATGTTACTTCCCCTAGTCCCTATGTACCAAATATAAGGATTTTCATGCATCTGCTTGACTTTATATTATATTTTATATTATATATTGGTCAATCTGTGGGGTTGCTTAATGAAATTCAAAGGGTATCTATTTCTGGAAATCACATCGTCACTCCAAAACTGGATAAAATCGGATCAAAAAATTATAAAATAAAATATATATAAATTAATACAAATTATATAAGAATTTCAATAATAACTATATCGCTTCACATATTACCAGCTCCTTTATACTACATATAACGATTTTTATTAGTCCAGAATAAAATTGGAATTTTCCCATCCTTTAGTTGACGTTTTCTCTTATGACCCATATAATAAATTTTCCCTTTTGATTACGATTATATCACATACTAGTATAAGTCTTTTGAGTTAAATAGATTTAACTTAATATTTCGATAAAGTAGTAATAACACCACGCGCGTCTACGACTTTTAATATACGTAAGTTAATAAGATACCAAATTTGATTGTAATCATTTCACGATTTCGTCGAAAAATGAACGTATAATTCATTAGCAACATTCTTTAATATAAAATTTTGCCAACACCTGAAGGTATTTCACCGGCTTTAATCTTTGCAAGTTTGCAGGTATTTTACTATGATTCTTCAGCAGTTGTAATTTGCCTCAAGTTGTGGAACTTTTTAACTGTTTGCATCTTTTCCCAATTTACATCACTTTTCAATCAATATAATATGTATTTTATAATCTGTCTAACAGCTGTGGTCCAAAATGTATACAATTAAACTTTATACAATCTTCGTTAATTCACTTTATCGCAGAAAGACTTGGGACTCCTATCGAAAGAACGCAGGCGGAAAACTCGTTGAATTCGAATTTCTTCAAGGTATTTTGTTTCGTTTTCATAAATTATATAAATAAATAATAGGAAAATGAGTTCAATGGTGTATAAGATGTGGTTCTGGAATTGACACGGATTTTATCCGGTCAAGGGCTGTTATTTTAGCGATCTAACCCTGTTTAGCTAGGTAAGTAGTAAGTAGCTGTACGTGTAAGAAAAATTACTGTTTAGAGACCGGGTTCTGCATCAAAACCGAACAGTCAATGGAAATCGATATCGGTGATTAATAACTTACTATATCTTACCGCTAAGAGATAAGAAGAATAAGTCTTAACTTTCCTGATTTCAAAAGTATATGACGGTTTAATTTCTCCCACTAAAATTCCGAGTAGAACTTCTAGATTTTTGAGAGAATGATGCTACAAAAGTTATTCCAACCTTTGAGTAAAGATCATTAAGATAGCTCCATAAGCTATACGAACTTTTCATCAGTGTCGAAAAAGAAGGCTGCTTAGATAATCAAAGTGGATATAAGCACAAAAAAAATATAGTAAACTGATCCATAGTTGCATCATAATGAAAATTCTTATGTTTCTCTCTTATTAAGTTTTAGACTTTATAAGAACAGGCAAAAGGTGGTTTCGTTAGATTCGAAAACTGCAGAAAAATCAAAACCTGATGGATTGGACGCGACATTACTGGCGCGTACAAGTCGAAGACGAGTATATATTGATATGGTTTAGGGTTAACCAGAGGGTACATTACTAGATTATTACTATTTTCAGTCACTTACCATAGATCTTCCAAGTAAGCCGCGCTGGCTTCTAGCTATGTAAATGGCCGATATATTTGTTCGTTAAAGTTTATAGAAGAAGAAGCGTTCTGAAAAAGATATGATAGAGCAAACTCTCGGAAAGTTTTGCCTAGCCATCACTGCGTCATTCATGTTTAAGAAGTGATAATAAGTGATGAAAATAATATTAATTTTCTTTACGATTAAATTGGTTGATGTTCACGTTAATTAAGTAATCCTAATGAACTCAAACATAAACTTTATGAAATTAAAATTCATCGTCGTAGCCGACTTGGTTTATTACCATGTAATGTAATATAATCATGTCTTAAAGAAGACCTTTCAAAAACAGATCGATACCCAAGATCTTTTTGTCGATTTCAAAGCCGCTTTCGGCAGCACTGACAGAATCTGCCTATTCGACTCCATGTCTAAATTTGGTATGCAAAGCCGTTCGATGCCAAACGAGCTTTAAGACAGGGTAATTTCCTCTCGTGCGTCTACTTCAATATAATGCTGGAAAAAGTGATATGTGCCTGCTAATCTGAACCGCAGTGACACTGTCTACTCTAAAAGTATGGTACTGTGGTACGCAGATGATATTAACATCTTAGACCTTAACTAACTGTTCTCCCTCTAAAAAATTTATCGAGTTACAACATTACGTGGGGTTTATGGTCTTAACTTGTATACTATGCAAACTAATTCACTTGCAAAAAATCGTAGTAATGCGTTGTGCTATTTTTAGTCTGTTCTAAAAATTGTTTGAATGACGCATTAACTATTGCAATTAATTTCATTACATATTTGTGTCTGACAGGAATTATGTTGTTGTTCATATAATAAAATAATGCAATATTGGCACGTCCGTTACTCGCACGCACAATTTGACGCGTTCAAATTACGCGCAATTACAAATAAATACAAAAACACTAAATAATGCTAATTCAGTAGCAATTAGTTGGTGGAGGCGAATACTAATCGTAAGTGCTATATATTTAATAAAGAAAAAAAATTTAGGTGTTAAAATAGTTGGAAATTTTCTCAAGTCCAAATTTTTCTTTTTTAAAAAAGGTTAAAGTTTTTGTAATACCGCTTAACGTTTGTATTTTTTCTTTAATTTACAGGCGCGTAACAAAGATTGGTCTTATGTGGGGACCTGATTTGAAGGCAATAAAGAAAGGGTTGTTAATTAAATCAAGGTATGTTTATGAGTACAAAGATGTTGTAACGACAGAAACTATGTATTTCACAAATAAGTTTGACGACCCTTGTACAGTTAATGACCCTTAACCACTTAACAATCGGGTTCATTCAGATACAAAGAACCGAACATTAAGAGTACGGACTAGTTATTAGTAACTAGTCTCTTGTGCAATGTGCAACATGGTGCCGGGAACTCCCGAGCAGCTAATTCTAGATAACACAGCAGTCTGTAGACGCAGGTTAAGGTCCTTAACACCATGTATCGGAAATCATATTCCCTCAAAAGCACTAAGCAGAATATTGGAAATTATCAGTATCCTGGGCCTCTGCTATTCCTTATGACAGAGGGAAGATCACAATAGACCTTAAGTGGCGGCGTAATCCACAATTTATTTCTAGCTATCTACCTAATTAGCTCGCTAGACGAAATATATTGATACAGTGCACTCTCTCTTCTTTCACCCATAAAGAAAGGAACTCATTCCAGAACTGGGTAATAACATAGACTAAAAATATATAATATATGTCATTGACATATGTAGCTTATGAAAACTTCTGAATCACATTTAAGTAAAAGACCTCCCACCTAACGTGTTTCGCTAGACGTCTACAAACTTTTACAGAATATTTAAGAATACGCGACTGAAAGTCATACATAAGTCCATATATCGAGTCATAGATATATTGGGAGTTCTTTAAGCTTTAGACGCCCCGAAAAACACTATACCCCAGCCAGTTGCGGTTGGATTGGTTGCATTTTACGGAAAGAGCTCTAAACAGAACGTTATACGAACGGCTCTGCGAAAATTTAAAATTCTATCTAAACTTCTTAAATGAACTTTGAATCAATTCGAATTTTATTTACTTGGCACTAACTACTTTAATTTTTATATTAGCTGAAACAAAAATGGGCCGCGCCATCACTTGGCTCTTCGTCGCAGTTACTGTCGTGATCTTAGCGCCGAGCGCGTTTGGACAAGCTAACAGTACAGCACAAAGTTCCGGGAATGATCAGACGACCATTCTTCAATCAGTTAGTCAAACGAGGCTATTGGCCAATCTACTGGAAATCTTGGGTGGGGTAGTCAATAATTTAGGCGGCGCCGCTCAAACTGGTAAAGTGTAGTCTTTGAAAATCAAAGTAAACTAACCAACTATAGCGTATATTTGATTTGACAGTAAATACTAGAAGTAATACTCAGGGTAGCGAAACTCCAGGTACAAATTTGACGAATGTTAGTCCACCGGCAAATAACACCCGCAGTGAGCAAGCATCAACCGATTACGATTACTACGATGACGTCGAGAAACCTCTATTAAGCGGTTGCTTGAAACTTCTTAGAGCTGCCACCGCAGATTCAAATACTAGGGAGCCTGCTCGACTGAGTAATATTATACGCACCTTACGCAATTTGCTGGGTAGTCTCCTTGGTGATCAAGGTGGTGAGTAACATTTTATAGACAAACAGCTAAGAGTTCTATTTCTCAAACCAATATTTCAGGGAACGCTACCCAAAGTTCGGGTTTATTGGATCCGGGTGTTGTAGCGGATCTGGCTGGTGACGGTAGGCAGTATTACAAGATTTAAATTTAAGCAAACGTATAACACATTGTTTTCTATTTGAACGTTATAGGGGAAACGAGCTCAACCAACCCTGATCATCTCGTAAGTGTTTGCCTGAATCTTATATTAGGCGATATACTCGGCGTCTTAGGAGACTTAATAAATAGATGTATGTAACAACTTGGTAACACAGTTAATGCACATTATAATATTTTATAATAATTCAGTTAATAGTACCTTGCCATGCCCACCGGAGCCAACACAAACGCAAACGCCATTACCAACATTATTAACCACACCAATAAACCCAAGCGCTCTTTCATCGTTGATATCGTCTTTGCAAACAACCACAGCTGCTTTGACTGAAGCTACAACCACCTTATCACCAGCAACTACATTACAAACCTCATCATTTTTACTAACAACAACCACTTCACCAACAACAGAAGCACCTACCATGCAAACTGCTTCACTACCAGTGTCTGCTTTTCCACCATCGCCATCAACACTAATAACAACAACTGATTCTTCTACCACAGCAACAAATAATTCTTCCACTTCACCAACAACACTAATACCAACAACAGAAGCACCTACCACGCAATCTGCTTCTCTACCGGTGTCTGCCTTTCCACCATCGCCATCAGCACTAACAACAACAACTGATTCTTCCACTTCACCAACAACACTAACACCAACAACAGGTTCTTCTACCACACCAACAACCAATTCTTCTACTTCACCATCAACACTAACACCAACAACAGAAGCACCTACCACGCAAACTGATTCACTACCAGTGTCTGCTTTTCCACCATCGCCATCAACACTAATAACAACAACTGATTCTTCTACCACAGCAACAACTAATTCTTCCACTTCACCAACAACACTAATACCAACAACAGAAGCTCCTACCACGCAATCTGCTTCTCTACCGGTGTCTTCTTTTCCACCATCGCCATCAGCACTAAAACACAACTGATTCTTCCAATTCACCAACAACACTAACACAACAACTGGTTCTTCTACCACACCAACAACCAATTCTGCTACTTCACCATCAACACTAACACCAACAACCAATTCTTCTACTTCACCATCAACACTAACACCAACAACAGAAGCACCTACCACGCAATCTGCTTCACTACCAGTGTCTGCCTTTCCACCATCGCCATCCACTAACAACAACAACTGATTCTTCCACTCAAAACTACACAACAACTGGTTTTCTACCACACCAACAACCAATTCTTCCACTTCACCAACAACACTAACACCAACAACAGAAGCACCTACCACGCAATCTGCTTCTCTACCAGTGGCTGCTTTTCCACCATCGCCATCAGCACTAACAACAACAACTAATTCTTCCATTCACGGCAGCAACAGGTTAACGCGTAGGCTGTTTCTGTTTGTGGTGTAAAGTGTCTTACGGATCATTCGGTCTAGCAGTCTGCAAAGAAACACCATTAATCAGGTTGCTGGTGTGGCGACAGACTCAGTTGTTGGTGAAGAACACCTGGGAGAGATAGTATAGTTATCGTATGGAGCATCTTAGTCGACGCAAATGCTCTACAGGTGCTGCCTTCTTCCCCATCGCCGATCAAGCTAACTAAACACACGATGGATTCTTCCACTGTTCAGCAGACACGAAAGACAAATGGACTTGGAAAAGCCAGACTCAGGCACTGATTCTCTTACCACACTAGATCAAGAAACACATTCTTCTACTTCACCCTAAAGACATCTGGACGATCGACGCAACTTAGCGATGCACACAGAAGTTTACTGCGTTGTTGGTGCTTTACTCAACGGTGGTTCGCAACTTACTGCTTCACATCAGTGTACTGCCGTTGTTCGACAGTAGAGAAAATTGGTTAGTTGGTACGCTTGGTAAAAACATGATCATCGCTGATAGCAAGTGTTGTACGTGGCAGAAGTGGTTGTCTAGTGCTGGGCGTAGACAATACATGTGCTGGTCGATAACACAGCTGACTGTAGAATCGTTTTGTGTTTAGTTGCTGAGTTCTTTCAAGGGCGATGGTGGTGAGCAGACACTGCTAGGAAGCAGTTTGCGGTAGGTGCTTCTATGTTGTGCAGGTTGAGGTGATTTAGTAGAATTAGAAGAATGGTTGTGGGTGGTAGAGAAGTGCTAAAGAGCTGCTGGTTGTGATGGAAAACTGGTGCGTTGCTTTAGTGCTGAGAGCGATGGTGGAAAGGCAGACCTGATAGTGAAGCCCATTTGCGTGTAGGAGTGCTCTCTGTTGTCGTCGATGCGTGTGATAGGGATCGGTAGGAAGATTGTTATTGGTGTTATGTAAAGTTCTTAACCACTAGAAGTAACAACCACACATGGGTTCTTATCACAGTTGTTCTAGGTGTTAGTAGTTAGATTCGTTGATCTTAACAAGGAAGAAATCAGCTAACTAACACCACAACCAATCTTCTATACTTTCACATCAACACCCCCACCAAACAGAAGCACCTACTCGCAAACTGCTTCAACAATATCAGTGTGTTATGGCTGCTGCATTTTCCCAATTGGTCTACGTTGTCGTTTTCCCAGCCTCAGGATCTTCCGCTTTTTTTATTCTTTTTATGCACGCTTTCCGATGCCGTTCTAGATCAGGCTCTAGTATCAATGGGCTGTAGGAGCTAATCAGACATAAGGTGAAGCAGTCTTTTGGACTTGCCTTTGCGACTAGGTTCTGACTAACAACAAATTAAACTAACCAACTGTGTGTTTCTTGCTCATTGGTGTTGGTTTTGATCGTGGATGAAGTAGACACGCCGGCAGCACACACCACGGTAGAGACGGACGCAGAGACATGGCAAAAACGAGGGCGAAAAAAAGTAACAACCAAAAACGAACAGCAATTGGAAATGACTTGTTTGGTGCTGTGTTAGCATAAGATATTCGCTTGTCACATATAGTGTTAGTGTCTCTGTTTGGTGAAGTGAGAACCGATCATATTCAGCTCGATCATGCTTGTATAGTCGACCAATCAGAAGCACCTACCCGCCTCGCATAGAACTGCCTGGGATGGGTGGACACGGTACCGAGTGAAAGTGTGCAGACGATCTTGTATCCATAGCCTAGATCGCGCCAGTTTTGTCGTGGTATGGTGCTAGCACTCACTAACAAAACTGATATTCGGGCTTCTCTTTCGTTTACTGTTTGTTGGCTGTCAATCGGATACGGTTCTTGTGTACTTAGGTGAAGTAGACGAAAATTGGTTGTATGAGTGTTAGTGTTGCTCCGCTTGTGAAGTGGATATAGTAATCAGTTGTCCATATCGTTGGCGTAATTTTCGCTGATGGGGAATGGTGGAAAAGCAGCACTGGCACTTGTACAGCAACGAGGGCTAAATAATAGTCGACTAATACAGACAAGCTGATTAGTCTGTGCCTCGGTAATAGCTGTGTGTCAGTCAGGTGTTACGAACCAGATGTTAAGTTCTTATGTACGTCGGTCTAGCAGATACGCTTGGTATTGTAGATCACTGTGAAGTCGAGCCAGGCGCGCAGAGAAGACGTTACAGAATGCACCTATCCGGACGTGGGTGGTTAAGGTGTTTGTTGCAAGTCCTGACTTCGTTGCGACATAACATATGCTGAGGTGTCTTTTTTCCACCATCGTGCCATCAGTCACGTAACAACAAAACTGATCTTTTACTTCACATCAACGATTCTTCTTACATCAAAGTGGTGAATGGCCGAATGGTGGAAAAGCAATTCTGTCTAAGCTAGACACTGTCAGCTAAGTTCCGAACACAGTCATACAACGAGCATACGGCGAGAATTGGGCTCACCGGTCGTCACATCGCATAACCTTGCTTTCACGTACCAGTGTCTTGCTTTTTTCTCGACCATTGTCGTCAGTGCTTTAGGCTAGGTGAACAGTTACAACGAATCAAACTGATTCTCTACCGCTTCAACTTGAACAGCATTCGTAATACAACAACAGGTTCTTCTTAATGCCAGATGTTAGTGTTCTGGTTGACCAGATCCACCAATTGTTGACCCACTTCTTACGGCTAATGCTATACTGGACTTAACACAACACTTGAGATCTTCGTACCAGATCAACATCCAAATTCTTCTATTCCATAAACGAAGTAACACAACCAACAGAGCACTCTACCAACTCAAACTGCTTTTCACACAGTGGTTGCTGTTTCTGTTCAGGTTGATCGTTCAGTGTTCGATTCTGAGTGAATTGGAAAAAGAAAATCAGAGTTGTTTCCGCTATAAATATCAGCCAATAACTGATTCTTCCACTGTATGGCCGATGGTGGATCACCAAACAACACATGAAAACACGAACACACAGATTCTTCTACGGATACACCAACGAAAGCCAGATCTCTTTGCCACGTTGGTTAGGCTGCCAAGCTCTCCACACTTAGCTTGACTGGTTTCTTTCTAGACCGACATATCCAACATACATCTTCTACGCACCATCAACCACTACCACAACAGAAGACAATAAGTGTTGTTGCGTGAAGGGGAACAGGAATTTATAAAGTTTGGTTCGTTTCGTGGTTAGACATACTAGGTGGCATTCATGGCTTTTTTTGTTCTCACCATTTCGCCATTCTATGCTACCTAACACAACAACTGATTCTCCAAGTTCTACATGGATGGCAGAGGTGGAAAAGCAGACACTGTAGTGACCTAATTTTAAGTCGCGGTGTAGGGTGATCTTCTTTCTATATGTCAACTCGATCCTGGATGTTCAACCAAATTCATTCTTAGTCTTTCAGCATGGAGACGAAAGAAAAATTGGACTATTGACCAACTAATGAGGAGCACTATAGCTCGGACGCTAGTGCGATTAGACCACATACACCAGTGGCTGGCTTTTCCCTTCCAGTCTTGCCATAGCTTCTAACCGGACATAGTGATTCTTTCTTACTTGCTACAACGGTATTCTTCTCTAAGCTACCTAGCAGTCGCACCTTACGTCGCTGAAGAAGTCTTTAGTTGATTTGATTAGTGCTTGATGGCGAATGGTGGAAAGGCAGACACCGTAGAGAAGCAATATGCGTGAGGATGCTATCTGTTTTGGTACATTATGTGTTAGTTCCACCAGCAGACACTACACAACACTAGAGCACACTACCACGCAATAGCGCTGCTAGTCACTACCTTTGGTGGTTGTTTGTCTGTGCCACGGATCGCCTAGCAGCGACAATATACCACAAGTTGGTAGTGTATTCTTCCACTTTCATCAACAAACGTAATACTAGGACCGAGATTCTTGCTGGCCGCACTACCAACAAGCCATTCTTGCTACGATAAAACGCACTCAACACTAACACCAACAATCAGGGTAAACCGTACTTACGCATCTGACTCTTTTCGACACAGTTGGCTGTGTTTTCCATCCTTAGGACTCAGCACTAATAGAGACAAATGTAGCTCCTTCACTTCATCAATCCAACGACTAACACTAGCTAACTGATTGTTTCTAGCCGACTACTGAAGACAAACCGTTTCTTCTAGCTGTTGTCACCTTATTCATAGGTAGTAAAATGATCGGACTGTAACATTCGTAACAACAAGTGAAGCTCACTTCACGGCAACTGCTTCCACTACCAGTTGCGTGCTTTTGATCCACCATCAGAAAGGTGTCAGCTGTACTAGCTACCAAAGTTGATCTAATCCACTGCTACGCAATATTACTGAGATTGCATCTAAACACTAGTGCAACATGACGATCTTATTCCCAAACCACGCAAATCGAAGAGCGCTTGGGTTCTTATTAGCTGTGGCCACCATTCAACACTAACACCAACAACAGAAGCACCTACCACGCAAACTGCTTCTCTACCAGTGTCTGCCTTTCCACCATCGCCATCAGCACTAACAGCAACAACTGATTCTTCCACTTCATCAACAACACTAACACTAGCAACTGATTCTTCTACCACACCAACAACCAATTCTTCTACTTCACCATCAACACTAACACCAACAACAGAAGCACCTACCACGCAAACTGCTTCACTACCAGTGGCTGCTTTTCCACCATCGCCATCAGCACTAACAACAACAACTGATTCTTCCACTTCATCAACAACACTAACACTAGGAACTGATTCTTCTACCACACCAACAACCAATTCTTCTACTTCACCATCAACACCAACACCAACAACAGAAGCACCTACCACGCAAACTGCTTCACTACCAGTCTCTGCTTTTCCACCATCGACAAGAACTGAATCTCCTACCATACTAGCGCTCCCTACAACTGTACCTACAACTATATTGTCTACCCTAATCACGTCGTCTACAACAACTGAAGGGTCAACGCAACCACCAACGGCAACGTCGACGTTATTAACAACGCTTTCGACTACTTCATCTGAAGTCACTACATTACCATCAGTGCCTTCAACTTTACCACCAGTAATATCTACTTTGTCAACGAGCCTACCTAGTACGAAACAGACCACTAGTGGACCCACGGATGCAACTTCCACTCTGTCACCAACGTTACCTACATCATCCCCGGCGCTGATCCCGACACCAGTAGCTATCTTGCCAGTAGCCATATTCAGTCCGTACTTGTGGTTCTACCCTGTCTATTCCTTCCCCTACTTATTTGTTGATGGCTTCCAAGTACAGAACAACACTGCTGGTTTACCAAATGGAGCAACGCGTATACTTTGTGTACCGAGATGAACTCTTTCACCCACACAACAACTGGTAACCGCTGGGTAACCCAAAAGGGGTATTTTTTCGATACTTGACTTACTTACTTAATGTTATTAGTATAGTTTAATGTATGGTAATTATTTCATGCTCTTAGTTTATGTCATAAATCCCATAGGGTCTGTAAAAAGGAGGAGTTACTTTAAAATATTTTTTTATTTTAATTTTACACATAGTATAATTTCTTATATAATTATAAATAATAAATATTTATTAATAAAATCGATTGGCGAAAACTTTTATATGAACGGGGATTTTATGTGTCATATTCAGGACCTTCGAGCTCCACACCGAGTGCTGGAACATAGGTTTCCCGATATTTATGCTTATATTTTTGCGAACTCATTGAATTGAGAAATTTTTTTGCAACTATCGATTGGACAGAGTGAAGGTACACTGCTAATCGTTTTTCTTTCCACAAGTTCAAAGAAGTTCATTTGAGCTTTTCTACTCTTTAACAGGCTGCTTCTTCCTAATACCTAAACCAATTGCTAACACTTAAAGATCTTTAAAAACTGTACTTTTAGAGTCAAAAACTTCTGCGTTCAACTTTCAAAATTTTCTCCGAAATATATGATATTTTTAAGGTTTCTGTGCCATATGTTAATGCGATGATTGGACCTACAAGCCGCAATTGTGTCAGTCTAACACCGAACTTTCTTAATACTTGATAACATTTTTATTCACTTTGGCTGTGTCTCAGAAAAGTTTTTTACGCGTTCAAACGCGTATAACCATTAGTCGTCATGTCATTTCCGATTCCAAAAAAGTAAGCTCCAACCAGAAACATCGAATAAATAATTTCTTTAAGTGTAATGACTGTTGTTTCCTCAAATATTTTTACCCTGAAAAGGGTATATAAAGTTTGCCACGAAGTTTGTAACACCCACAAGGAAATATTGGAGACTCTATAATGTATACACATATATATAACAATAGCTGAAGACATTTTCCATATCGGATCACTATATCATATAGCTGCCTTACAAACTGAGCCACCAAAATCTTATATGGATTTAGTAAACAATCGACGTATGTTATGAATGAACAACTAAACTTTTATAGGAGTAAGACTTCATTTAGGTAAATGTATATGTTTTAGAATATAATTCAACAGTTCTTAAAATACAACCCTGAGCTTTCAAAAACACCAGGAAAGACGTATATATATTTTTTCTAGGATATATATGTTTATTTCAAACAAGGGGAGTAAAAGTGTCTTAGCTCAAAGTCGAGTATTACAAATTATACCAAAAGTTTTTTTTTTCCATACAAAAAATGTAGTACAGCTTGTGTTTGGCACAGTTAAGCAACAGGTATGCGTTGTTCTTCTTTATACTTATGAATATGGTAGACTTCCAGTTACAGCACCACTACCCGAACATCGCAAAAGGTTTCATCTGAATTTAAGTTCTGGTAATCTTTGTAGAAAAGGAAAGTTAATGAAAGGTGTAAAAAATAGCAATAGTTTTAACGAATATAAGGTGACCAGATGGCATAATAGGCACTATAGTTATATGGTAGCAGGTAGAATTTTTGTTTTGTGTGTTGACTTGTATATCAGATTCCATTGTTACAAATAGAATCCACAGAGTTTTAAACAGCAATACTTTATTAACCCAGTTCTTTTGAAATAACATTGTTTTTAACGTTTTAAGAGTATATAAACGGCATTAATCGGTCTGTGGTCGAAACTCGAACTCGAGCTTCATACAATATATCGACTAATTCTCAGAGTATTTGGATCAAAATTGAAAATATTGAAGTGGTGAAAAGCTTATAAAGCTATGAAAAGAAAATTAGTACTTGGAAAACTATTGTATGTTTAACAGCAAATCTTTTGTCGGCGTTATTTGACCGAGTCGTTTGAATCGTTACCATGAAGCATAGTCACGAAACTGCCATAACAACCAGGTCTAGATAACCGGAACGAACTCGGATTTAAATCTAGCCAAGGACTGTCGGCTATATTTCACAACAAAAACTCAAGTCAATAACAACCATTATGCCAAAAAGAATATTTCCCTATAACTCTAGTTTGGCCACCCCATGTTACATGGTGTTACAGCTGTTCACAGCTGTTTAATTAATGCTTCTTGAGATGTTCCGAAAGCGAAAATTGCGCATAAAACGAAGAGATGTATTTTATTATTAAACGCATTTTGTTACAAAAATGTTGACTTTATACTTATAATAAATTTATTATAACTGTGCTGCGTTGTGAAATATTAAAAATAAATAAATCACAAAAACTCATGCACAATTGAACGCTCATTAACAAAATAATTCACCTTGAGAAGTAATCAGGTATTTAAAGTTATTTGTAGATATTTTCATATGTATGTACCCACATACAGTTATTCCAATACATTATATTAAGGGCTAAATATACGTGACCAAGTTAACTGCATAACTTACTTTTTAATTTTGTCTGGGGCGTACGAAGAGGTTTCTTTGTTTTAAGTGTAATTGTTTGAGTGCATAAATACAATTCGTATATGTTACGTTTATATACATACAAACATATTATATAGACACGAAGTTTCGATTTTAGATAACTATTACTGTACGTACTATTAGAGTATGTAAAAATATATGCCAAAACAGCTTTGTCTACAAATTACAAAAAAATATTATTATAAATACCCGTAAATAAATGTATTATTCATAAAAAGTGATCAATTTGCACTAGTCTCACACTCTGGGTGCCCATTATTGTTTGGTAGGTTGGTTAAAAATATAGGAGGAGAAGCGACAGATTGCGGACGGCCGCACTTAATTCATCATTAGGTCCATTGTGCTTCCGCGTGGTAACCACATTACGCCTTATCCAGCAACTCAATGGATTTGGCAAAAACCTAATTTTTTCCACCTTAGCTGCTCAATGTCTCCTAAATTATAGCTTTGTGAGCCGTGTAAAATATCCCGTCTCAGCCGGCTGAAGGCTGGTCTTTCGCAAATATTATGTTTCAGCTTCTAATCATTCTCCGCACATGCTCTGCATTCCTTTAATTTTCTGAAGGTGGTATCTTAATGGTAGCTGTCCTATGATGACCACTACAATATTACTAAGTTCCCTATTGCCTACAGAAGTAGAAGCTGTTTGGTTTGTCCACTATCATCACTATCCAAAATAATTTGTGGTATACCTTGTGTTGCTGGTGTTCGAAGTTCTGAGGGGTTCCTCTGGAGCCCATTGTTTCAAACAACCCTTGAAAGAGCTAAATGGTGGGGGCAACTAGGAACACAATTCCTTCTTAAGTTGACCCCGAGGGGGCCAACTCGTTTGCAATATGTGGATTTCGTCCATTAAAACTGTCGATTACAGAATCATTAGTCGATTTTTATCTACTTAAGAATGAAAATGCTGTGTTTAAGTCCTCATGGATCTCCTTTTTGCGGTTTCATTTCGCATTTTGGTGTTCATTATAAAGGAAAACAGAGTATAATAATATGCCCCTAGTGTGGTTTCAATGGCCTAAAATCATTAGCCCTAAGCTGACCGTAAGCATTACATCATACGTCACTTGAATAAGTAGTGGCTGGATATCGAGGATAACCTCCATAGACTTTGTTGAAGTACTTTTTATTGCGCCGGCAAGCAGTGCAGTTGCGCCTATTTAAGGCGGTACTCTTTTGATAATGCCATCCTCCACACCACCGTATCATATGTAAGTATGGGATGGATGACACTTGTGTAGACTCAACAGACCTTGTGGGGTCGTAAATCCCACTTTGAGGCAAAAGCTCTTCTGCAGAAGTTCCAGATTTGAAAGGCTGTTTCCAAAGCCTGCTCTCAATGTGAGGATAAAATGCCTCTTTGCTGAGGGCGCATTATTAGGGTAAGCATTATCGGTTTAAAAATGTATAGTAATTTCATCCGTTGAAAAAAATGTATATTGGGTCCAACTAAGTATTTAAATATAAACCATAGATTTATTATTATCACTAAAAATATACCCTATAAAAAGAAATACGTTTACTCTTCGCTCTTTAGCTGTGAAATACTAGGGTAGCTCCAACTCTCAACCAACATTTTAACCTAAAGGATTTGTATTCCAATTAAAAAATAGTTGAACAATTATTTATATTATTTAAAACTCATTAAAATCCTTTAATACCAAGATACCAATTTTATTTATTTTATTAAATAAAATATATATGTATATTAAATAAAATTTTCATACAGCTGGTGACGCCCTCCATAAAAATATCAGAGAAAAATCTCTTTTAAAGCCTTTCAGCTTGTTGTCTATAACATTTGTATAAAACGGTATTTATTTAACTAATTTAGCACTTCTCAAAACCACTTTAGCAGTAAGATTGCTTAAACCTCTATAGCTTTGTAATATTATAAAACGTCGAATTTTTTCAACTAAGTTGCATTTCACTTTTCAAACAGATGGCAACATTCCTTAAACTGTCAATGATAGATATGTTTTTCCAAATTGTCTAGATTGATGCCCATATTTACTATAGTATTAATACTATGGTAATAATATATTTTAAATAAAAACTTTAAATAAGTGGCATCTCTGCTTAAAATACTTTTTACTAAAAGTTTTCTTAAATCTTATGGAGTTCGCTTTCCACTTTTATATTAAAAAATTTACTAAATTAAATAAATTACTTATGCAGATGGCAGCACTTCCGTTTTTCAAAACGGAATTTGCATATTGGCGTTTAAATTTATTTTATATAAAAACTTTAGATAGGTGGCATCTCTCCTGAAAATGTTTTTCACTAAAATCTGCCTGAATCTTATTGGATTTGTCATCCACTTTTATAATAAATTATATAAAAAAATTAATTAATTGTTTATGCAGGTGGCAACACTTCCCATTTTTTGTTTTTCTTTTTATATACGAAATTTTGCATTTTAAAGTTTTACTTTATTACCAAAAAAAATAACTTTTTTTTTGTTAATATCATTTCTTCACCGTTGCCGATTCGCAAGAAATCATAAATCTCTCAAGGAATCTTACTTCGCACATCTTAACAACAGACGCGTCTAGACCACCTTTCTGCATTACATGCTTACATTACTTTTCCGCCAGAGGATCGCACTTCTACCTGTCATCGACTGCCTTTAGTCAGCGAAATTTTTATAAGAAAATTCTTCATCCCTCTTAGTCAGAGTTTCTGCGACTCTTTCATAAAAAGCCGATTAAGTACCACACTCTATATCTTCACATATGCCTTGAATACTCACAATTCATATAATTTT